GCTGGGTGAGGGTCAGGCTGCTCTCCAGGGCCCCTGAAGTCCCAGTCGGATGAGCTAATGGACACCACAGAGGTTCTGCCAGTTATCATGAGGGTGGCATGGCTAAGGGGCACACCTCAGCCAGCCCCTGGAGACCGTGTCCTTGCAGCCTGTCCTCCCCGAAGACCACCATCTTTCCGGCATCCCTCGGAGCCATCACTGCCTGTCCCGAGGTGTCCCTAGTGGGCCTGTCCTCCCCGAAGACCACCATCTTTCCGGCATCCCTCGGAGCCATCACTGCCTGTCCCGAGGTGTCCCTAGTGGACCTACTTAGGACTTGGCTGCCCAGTTGGCAGGGGCCGTATCCTGCCCCTGCCCCCTGGGGTGCCCAGGAGGCCTGGCCCCAAGCCTGTGGTGCTGTCTCCCTGGCAGATATTGAGGAGAAGGGCGTCCGGATGAAGCTGACGGTGATTGACACTCCAGGTTTCGGGGACCACATCAACAATGAGAATTGGTGAGCCCCTGCAGCCTCAGGGAAGGCTTGGAGGGTGGCTGTGGCAGGAGGAGGGGTGGGGCCCTACCTGTCCAGGGGACCCAGGCAGTCAGGGCTGAGGCCTAACTGCCTTCGTAACCCCGCACTCCCCGACAAGCCCTGAGGTCAAAGGTCCACCTGAGTGGTGGGGCTCTGCACGGAGAGGTTCTCCGGGGTTGGGGAAGCTGGGAGCCGAGGGCGCTGGCCCTGACTGTGGGACCCTGGGCCGGCCCCTCCCTGCCTGTGCACAGCTGGCAGCCCATCATGAAGTTCATCAACGACCAATACGAGAAGTACCTGCAGGAGGAGGTCAACATCAACCGCAAGAAGCGCATCCCGGACACGCGTGTGCACTGCTGCCTCTACTTCATCCCGGCCACTGGCCACGCGTACGTGCCACGCTACCCGCCCCTCCCTGGGCCCACACCTGTCCACCTATCCTCCCTCCCCGGTTGGTTCCCACACGTCCTTGCCCCAGCTCTGTACCGTGGCCTGGCTGAGCCTGCGCCCGGGTCCCTGCTCCTGGCTATACTGGCGCAATCCTCAGCCCCTCCGGCAGCCCTCCAGGGACCCCACAGGGCCATCCTGGGTCGGTACCCCCCCACCCCCATCCGCATCTGACCCCAACGGTTCTGTCTCAGCCTCCGGCCACTGGACATTGAGTTCATGAAGCGCCTGAGCAAAGTGGTCAACATCGTCCCGGTCATTGCCAAGGCCGACACGCTGACCCTGGATGAGAGGGTCTACTTCAAACAGCGGGTAGGGCCCTCCCCTCACCTCCCTGTATACCCCCCTCGCTTCACCCCCAGGCAGCCTGGGCTCGGTAGCAGGGTGGGCGCAGAGGGGGAGGTCTCTCGAGGGCTGCAAGACAGACACAGGCCAGGTCCTGTGTGAAGGCCCAGGAGCAGGTGGGGGAGAGCCTGCCCCTCCCTCCCTGGTGTGATCAAGTAGGAGTGTCCACCAGGACAACCCTGCCTCTCCTTCCCCCTCCACCCAGCAGCCCCTCCAAGCTGAGGAGGGTGCCCCACTGGCCGGGCCTCAGGGTGCGTCTAAGTGCTCAAACCCTGGGAACCCAAGGTGCCCTGGTCTCGCTCTGAAAGCCTCCCACACCCTGCCCAGCCTTCTGTCCAAGGCCAGGTGTCAGAGTCCTCCCAGCATGCTTGGGGAGGGTGGGCATGTCCAGTGTGCATGTGCTGGAGGAGGAGAGAGCCTATGGTGGCCCATGTATGACACAGGGATTGTCTCACAACGGGTGGCCAGGCCTTCTATCTGCGGCCTCTGGGTGGACCTGAACTGTTACCTTTCCATCAGCAGCCGAGAGTGGTAGCTGTTGGCCCCACTCATGGGGCAAAAATGACATCTCCTCATGGGGATGGTCCTCCTGGGGCATCATCCAAGTTGGGGTGCAGCTGTCCCCCAAGGGGGTTCAGCACAGGCAGGATGGGAACTGCGGTACGAGGGGACTGGGATGAATTGGAGACGCAGGACAGGCAAACTTGGGGCCACAGGAAGTGGGGGTTTGGGGGTCACCTGGCATAGCAGTCGTGGTGGTGGAAAGACCCCTCAATGGGTGGCGAGGGCGGCTCCTCATGTACCCCCACTGCTCTCAGATCACAGCAGATCTCCTGTCCAACGGCATCGACGTGTACCCCCAGAAGGAGTTTGACGAGGACTCCGAGGACCGGCTGGTGAACGAGAAGTTCCGAGTGCGTACACAGTAGTGCCCTGGGGTGGGGGTGGGGGGTCACGGGGCCGATCCAGGAGTGTGTTCTCTCCCTGGGGAGAGAGGGACCCAAGTGCAGGGTTCCACCTGCCCTGTTCAGACCTGGGTCCTGGATCCTGGGTCCTGGGCCCTGGTGGGGGTTGGGCTGACCTCTCCGTGAGTGACCCTTGCCTTGTCCCTCCCCTCCCCCAGGAGATGATTCCGTTTGCCGTGGTGGGCAGTGACCACGAGTACCAGGTCAATGGGAAGAGGATTCTGGGCAGGAAGACCAAGTGGGGCACCATCGAAG